TTGGTTTTCCGTTTTCATTAGGAACTAATGTTTCATTTCTATTTTTTTGTTTTTCATGTTTTGTTCAGAAATGTCCAACAAGCCTTACTTAGGGTAAATAAAAGAAGGCTGTCAGCCTTCATGAAAAAATTTATGAATGAAAATTTAATTAATTTGGCTGATTAACTCTTGTATTGCAATCTGAATTTTTTTCGCAGCACTTTCCCAAAAGAAATTACATAAATCATCTTAATCTTAATTTTTATCGAGCAACAACAGATCACACTTTTTAAATTAAACTGTTGTGTTTCATTCTAAAAGCAAGTTAATTAAAATATATTTAAAATACAACCACGAGCCAGATAAATTTATTACGCGGGCCGTATGTTAATCACGCCTCCTGAACTAAACAATGCGAAATTTGACAAAAATTATTCATAAAAACCTTGCACTCCTTGACTTCCGGGTTCACCATTTTGACCAGGAGAGCCAGGATTTCCAGGTATTCCAGAAGCGCCTGTTGAACCAACATCTCCTTTCGGACCTTGCGGACCTTGTTGCCCAGCCGGACCAGTATCACCTATTAAACCTTGCGGACCCTGTTGTCCTTGCTGACCGGGTTGGCCGGCTGATCCCGGTTGGCCTGGATCTCCTCTCAATCCTTGCTGACCCTGAGGCCCTTGAGGACCAGCTTGACCAGCAAAACCAGTTGCGCCTTGAGGTCCTTGTGCTCCCATTTGTCCCGGCTGACCGTTTGGTCCCGGTTGGCCAGGCTGACCTTGTTGTCCAGTTGGTCCTTTGTCACCTTGCGGACCCTGTGGTCCTTGAGATCCAGGTGTACCAGCAGGTCCTTGTAAACCTTGATCTCCTTTATTTCCTGGCGATCCAGATACACCAGGTTGACCTAAAAATAACAAGCAGGTATGTGTTTATTACATTAACAAAGATTTTATCCACCACCAGCAAAAAAGTAAACTACACTATCAACTCTCTATCAATTTTAGTTGCATTTCAAGTTGAAAATTTTCTTGACATTTTAGAGCTAATTTATTGGAAAATAAATGGTATGTTACAAAAAATATAAAAATAAATATTCATTTGTTTTGCTTGTTTTCTACTACAATGAAATTGATTTTTTAAATTTTTATTAAAAATGTTCAACAAACCTGGTTGACCAGGCTGTCCTTGAAGTCCTTGAAATCCAGGTTCTCCTTTCAAACCTTGTTGTCCTTGACTTCCAGCTGGACCTTTCTGACCAGCAGGTCCTGTGGCTCCAGTAAAACCAACGTCTCCTTTTAGTCCTTGAGCTCCAGGTTGACCTGGTTGGCCCGGAAGCCCCTGTGTACCTTGATCACCCTGATTGCCTGGTTGTCCCGATAGACCCGGCAAACCAACTTGTCCGACTTGTCCAGTCGGACCAGTTGGTCCAGCAATTCCAGGTAAACCTACAGCACCTTGTGGTCCCTGCTGTCCTGGAGATCCGGGACTTCCTGCATCACCAGGCGAACCAGTATCGCCAGCTGATCCAGTTGCACCCTGTTGTCCTTGAGGACCTTGTGACCCTATATCTCCCTTTTGACCGGGCTGGCCAGATGGACCTTGTGGTCCTGGAAAACCTTTAGGTCCCGTCGGACCTTTTTGTCCGGGCTGCCCTGAGTTTCCAGAAACTCCTTTAGATCCAGGCTGACCTGGCTGACCTGTTGCACCCTGGATACCAGCAGGACCGGTATCACCTTTGAGACCTTGCTGACCTGGTGCTCCTTGCGTTCCTGAATTTCAATCCAATGTGTGTTGGATGAATTGTAAATTATGAAAAAAGTTGACCGATACTTAAAAAATTGCATATATAAAATGTTTCAGGTTTAAACGATATAAATACAAATTAGTTAATATTGTCAAAAAAGATGGCAACAGAATACACAATTTTAAAATAATAGCACCACAACAACAAACAAAACAACAAAAAATGAATAACGAAATTACAAGTAATAATAATAAAATAATGTAAAAAATCAACAAACCCGGTTGTCCAGGAGTTCCAGACTGACCAACCGGTCCAATATCACCCTTTGGACCTGCATTTCCCTTGTTTCCTGGTGCACCAGCCAAACCAGGCAATCCGGGTTGACCTCTGGCGCCCTGAGCTCCCGGACTACCTGGAAGACCTGTGTCTCCAACAGATCCAGGTGCCCCTGCAACTCCCATCTGGCCATTGAATCCAGCCTCTCCTCTATTGCCAGGTTGTCCTTGTGGCCCCTGTGGTCCAGATTCACCTGAAGCACCTGTCGCTCCTTGCTGTCCTTGTAGTCCAGGGTTACCTTTCAATCCTGAACTTCCCGGAGAGCCAGTATCGCCCGGTAAGCCTTTTGAACCTTGTGGTCCCTGAGGTCCTTGCGAACCCTGTAGCCCAGGTTGTCCTTGAGGTCCTTGATTTCCTGGCTGTCCTTGGTTTCCTGTTGGACCCCTAAGACCCACAGCACCAGATGGCCCTTTAAATCCTTGCAAACCAGGTTGACCCTGTGAACCTGGAGATCCCGGTAATCCAGGTGATCCAGCACTTCCGATATCTCCCTTTTGGCCTGGATTACCTGTAGCTCCAGTACCACCTGTGTGTATGTATGTATGTATGTATGTATGTATGTATGTATGTATGTATGTATGTATGTACGTACGTACGTACGTACGTATTTGATATATTTATTTATTCAAAATCAAAAAACTGCACAATAAAAAATAGCAATGAATGGTCTTCGGAGACCAAATAAGAAAATTAACTTGTATGGGCCACCGTGTCACTTCAGTAAAGGAAAAAAAGAGAAGAGGAAAATAATATGAACGCCATATTATATAAAATAATATGAAATATATATATAATAACGTCATATATAAAATAATATGAAATATATATATAATAACGTCATATATAAAATAATATGAAATATATATATAATAACGTCATTTATAAAATAATATGAAATATATATGTAATAACGTCATATATAAAATAATATGAACGTCATGAAAGTAATAATTAAATGCAACCGAAACAATGAAAAGAAATTTGAAGAGTAAATCGACATAAAAGGGTGGCAACAAAATAAACGAATATCTCGACGCATGAAATTAAATTGATATGATAATAAAATCGAACCATATATTTATTATAGGATTTTATTGTGGGTCAATTGATAATAAAAACTCAAATTATTTTTTTTCTAAACAAAACAACGTTAGCAGTGTTCTTCATGTTGCATGGAATGGTATTGCCCCACCCACAGCTTAGTATGAAGGTATTCAGCAAAATTTATTCAACTTATTCAGAGGCATGGAGACACGGATGCTCAAACGAGCTTGTACCGCCACCCAAACCGAATAAAAACATATACCTACATAAAATAATAACATAAATGAAAATAAATGTGTGTGTGTGTGTGCATTCAGCTTGTATGAATAAAAATATTCGTTAATCTGTTTATATACTATTCACGTTCATTTATTTTTTATTTATTATTACAACAATTAGTAGTATTATCATTGTCATTATCATTAATTTTATATAATTATTATACCCATTTTATTTGATCTTTAATTTGCACCATACAAATATACTTAATTTTATTGATTGAAACATTCAGCTAAACAATCAAATTTATTTTAAACATTCAATCAACAACATTCAAATAAATGATCACATTTATTTTCAGCGTTCGATCAAACATTATTTAATGAAGATAAAAATCAAACCTTGCGGTCCAGTTGCTCCAGTAAAACCATTCTGGCCTTGAGATCCGGGCAGACCAACATCTCCAGGTTGTCCGGGCTGTCCAGGCTGACCAGGCGTTCCTGACGAGCCAGTATCACCTCTCTGTCCTTGAGGACCAGCAGATCCAGGTTGACCTGGATTGCCAGGTAATCCTTGATCTCCTGCTGGACCAATATCTCCGGTCGCTCCTGTGGGACCCGGAGATCCCGTGGCTCCCTGTGATCCCTGTATTCCTTGAGGACCAGTGTCTCCTTTATTTCCTGGTAGGCCATTAGGTCCAGCTGGTCCTGTTGCACCTTGGTCACCTTGCTGACCAGGAGAGCCTGATTGGACGACAGAAAGTGAAAACAAATAATGGCGTTTCAACGAATCACGATTCACAATGAGAACAAGCTAAACGAATTTGTTCAGTGTAAAAAAAGTTTATTAATCTTCACTGAAAGTTTACTGTTTATCATACGTTAACAATCAACTGAAAAACCAACAAGGTAGTTATAAGCCGGATTTCAGTCAACTAAATACTTACAAATTTCTAAAAATTTAAGCAAAAATAATTAAAATATTTTTTATGATACGTTCTTACCTGGATTGCCATTAATTCCAGGGGTTCCTTGATCTCCTCTCAACCCTTGCGGACCAGGCTGTCCAGAAGCACCAGTTGGGCCAGTAGCTCCTGCTAATCCTGGCTGTCCCTGAAGCCCTTGCGATCCTGATAATTACAAAAATGTTAATCAAGTTTATATGAAAATATAATTTGGCCTAACAATCTTTAAAAAAATAAAAAATGTAAAAAAAGCAAAATCATTACTTGAATTATAAATGAAAATTAATAAATAACACGCACCTTGATCACCAGGGCTTCCTGGTTGACCTTGTTGACCTGGCTGACCTTTATTTCCAGGCACACCAGGAGATCCTCTTTGTCCAGGGCTGCCATTGCTGCCAGGTTGTCCGGCAGTTCCAGTTTGTCCAGTGGCTCCCGTTGGGCCTTTTAATCCAGTTGGACCTTGATTTCCAGTTGCACCTGTATCACCACGTAATCCTTGCAAGCCTGGAAAGCCTGTTGCACCTTGTGGTCCAGGCTGACCTATTGGACCAGTTGATCCAGCTTCTCCTTGCGCTCCCACGTTTGCAGGAGTACCTGGGTCACCAACTGGACCAGTATCACCAGTATCACCTTTTGGACCTGCTAAACCTACTTGACCCTGTTGACCTGGTTGACCAGGTTGACCTTGTTGCCCCGGTTGACCTTTATTATAAATAAAAATAATTGAAGTAGTAGTTTTGAAATGTTAAACATTTATTCAATTATGTCAAACGAATTTAGTCTACAGTTAAAAAACAAATGCAACCTGTAGATCCAGGTAATCCAACAGCTCCATTTGGTCCAGGCTGTCCAGCAGAACCAGGCGATCCTTTCTGACCAACTGGTCCTTGCGGTCCCGGTTGACCAGCTGGTCCAGTTTGTCCTTTTGGCCCTGCAGGACCCTGAAAACCAGTATCACCAGGCAAACCTTGAAGTCCTTGGAAACCTTTAGGACCTTGTGGACCCGGTTGGCCCGGCTGTCCAGATGCACCCGTCCCGCCTTGTGGTCCCTGTGGTCCTTGAAGTCCAGCCGGTCCTGTTGCTCCTTGTTGACCTTGCGATCCTGGGTTTCCAGCCTGGCCAGGTAAACCAGGACTACCAGTGTCACCTTGCTGACCAATTGGCCCTTGTGGACCAAAATCTCCCTTCACGCCTTGTATGCCTGGAGCACCTATCTGACCTCTAGGACCAGGACTACCTGAAGCTCCATTATTTCCAGGCTGTCCAGAGGGTCCAGGAGCTCCTTGAGGACCTTGCTGGCCTTGATCTCCAGGTTGTCCAGTCGGTCCAGTTGGACCACTTTGTCCAGTGCTACCTTGCATTCCTTGCATACCTTGTTGGCCAGGTTGGCCTGGTTGACCTGTAGCTCCTTGTACACCCTGTGAACCAAGTGGTCCTGAATTTCCCTTAATTCCCTGTTGACCTTGTGGTCCTGGTTGTCCCGTTGGCCCACTTGATCCAGGCAAACCGGTATTCCCGGGTTGACCTTGAAAACCTTGAACTCCCTGGGGTCCTTTAGGTCCTTGTGGCCCAGATGGTCCCGGAAGGCCAGTGTCACCTTTTAAACCTTGAATACCAGTTTGACCTTGGGGTCCTAAAGGACCAATTGGTCCTATATCACCTGGTTGACCTTGATTTCCTGGAGATCCTTGCTGACCTGTTGCATTTTTTAAAGTTGTTGGTTTAATTCTAATTCATAAGGCAAGTTATTTTTAATTTATTTACTTTTTTAAATTCACTTTTAATTTTGTTATTAAAATATGCATTTAATTATAATATTAAAATAAATAAAAAGTTCACAAATTCACAGCAAACGACCTGCAGGCCCTTGTGGTCCGGGTTGTCCGGCAGCACCAGGTTGACCTTGTGGTCCCATTTGGCCTTGAGGCCCTTGCTGCCCTGCAGATCCAGGTTGACCCTGAGCCCCTTGAGGTCCAGGTTGTCCGAGCTGTCCTTGATTACCAGCACTACCCGGTGTACCTTGATCTCCTTTAACACCCGGATCACCTTTTTGACCCGCAGGACCAGTAGCACCTTGTTGACCTTGTGGTCCAGGCTGACCTGTTGCTCCTTGTGTTCCCTGAGGCCCAGGTAGTCCTATTTGACCAACTGGACCAGGTGACCCTGGATTTCCGTTATCTCCAGGTAAACCCATAGCCCCAGTAGCTCCAGCTGGACCAGTTGGTCCAGTAGCTCCAACGGGTCCAGAAATTCCAATATCTCCTGGAGCACCTTTCAATCCTTGAATCCCTGCTGCACCCTGTGATCCTTGTGAGCCAACATCTCCTTGAGGTCCTGGAGCTCCCTGAAAACCTTGTTCTCCTTTAGCACCTTGTTGACCTGGATTTCCAGGCTGTCCTATTTTTTAAATTACATTTAAATAACTTATTTTTCACTTTTGAATTAAAAAGTTATAATAAACAAATGAGAAATATTCAAATGAAAATAATTAACCAGAAGGTCCTGGCTGGCCATTCGGTCCTCTAAATCCAGCATTTCCTTGAAAACCAGGCTCACCCTTTGGACCTTGTTGTCCTTGTGTTCCACTTGCACCAGTAGCACCTGTCGCACCTTGGAATCCAGCTGCACCTTTTAATCCAGCTGATCCAGGAGTTCCTTGAGGTCCAGGTTGACCATTCGGTCCTGAAGGACCTGGTTGGCCCGCATTTCCAGGTGAACCAGATTGACCAGGGGCTCCCAAAGGTCCTGGTTGACCTGTAGCACCTTGTGGTCCTTGTGGCCCAGGCTGACCTTTATTTCCTTGCTGTCCTGGTTGTCCCGCAGGACCTGAATTTGAACGTAAACGAATTATTTGGAAATGAATAAACTTTGCAATTTTAATTATTTTAAAATGATCGAAAATTAAATAGATCGTCGTTCGGGCAATGTTATTTTGAACCATCAAAAACACCTGGCTGTCCAGGTTGACCAGTGGGTCCTATTGGTCCTTTCTGTCCAAGATTTCCAGATGAGCCTGGGTCTCCTTTCAATCCGGCTGGTCCTGCGAGTCCAGTAAATCCGACGTCACCTTGAGATCCTGGTTGACCCTGAGATCCAGGTTGACCTCTCGGTCCAGCTAAACCAATGGCACCCATCAGGCCTGGTTGACCAGGTTGACCAGTTGAACCTTGTTGTCCCGATTGACCAGGCGCACCTTGAGATCCTTGAGCTCCAGGGTCTCCTTGCGCACCTGGATTACCTGAAGTTCCAGCAGGTCCTTGAGTACCTTGAACACCAACAGCACCCGGGTTGCCTCTGTCACCTTGAGGTCCTTGTTGACCGGGTTGACCAGGGGATCCAGTTTCTCCCTTTGGTCCAGGAAGTCCATTAGCTCCAACGGGTCCTTGAAAAATAAAATCAGAAAAATTCACTCGCGATTACTGTAGTAGTGAAAACAATCGAGTGACAAAAATTAAACGCAAGATGTAACTGCATAAATATACTTTGTTTTAAATATTAAGCAATGTAATTGATGAGTATTGAACCAAAAATAAATGCCAAGAGCTGAAAGAATTAATTGAACAAATTAATGCAAAAATAAAAAGATAATCTAAAGATAAAAAACATTAAATAGTAATAAAATTATGTAAAATAAACAAAACATTAAATTAAACAGGTCGTAAAAAACAAACCAGGTTGTCCAGCAAAACCAGTATTTCCTGGTAAACCAATGCTACCCGGTTGACCGGGTTGTCCGGATGGTCCAGTGGCCCCATTTTGTCCGGTTGCCCCAGTAAATCCAACATCGCCTTGCATTCCTTGAGGTCCTTGAGGCCCTGGTGTACCAGCATCTCCTTGCGAACCTGGTTCACCCATCGGACCTTTTTGACCTGCTTGTCCTGTTGCACCCTTGTCCCCTTGAAGACCTCTAGGACCCTGAACTCCTTGTTGACCTTGAAAGCCCGCTTCACCTGGCGATCCTGCAGGACCTGGTTGACCGGCGGCGCCTACAAAGTTTTCGTTTGAAATAAAATGTTTTGATTTCTCGTTCAGTTTTGCAGAATGTTTTTTTAATTTTTATAAAACCAGGTTCTGACAGACGCAGAGGTAATATTATTTTTTTACGTGTAAAATGAGTTCGAATGATTATAGACGTTATAGGTGACCAATTACATTGTTTTAGCCATGTAGTTAATTAGTTTTATCGGATGGGAACTATTTTTGGATGTTTTTACTGTTGTTATGTTTACGATAAATAGTATGTTATCTTTAACAGAAGTTTATGAACTGTACGAAAATAAAAACAAAAATATCAAAAGAGCTTAAAAAAATATAACAAAAAAACAAACCAGCTAATCCTGGAGATCCAACTGGTCCAACAGGTCCAGGTTGGCCTTGTAATCCTGGTTCTCCTTTCTGACCTTGTGGACCTTGAGGTCCTTGTTGACCTTGAGCTCCAGGATCACCAGGTTGACCTTGAGTTCCTGGTAAACCAGTTGGTCCCGCTGGACCTTGTGGACCAGGTTGACCAACTCCACTTGGCCCTGGAACTCCTTGAGGACCCTGTTGACCAGGTTGGCCATCTTGACCCCTCTGACCAAGGGATCCTGCAGGACCTGGGCTACCAAGTGGTCCAATAGAGCCGGGACTCCCAATTTGACCTTGAGCACCTTTCAATCCGGCTGGTCCAGGAGCGCCATTTGATCCTGGAGCTCCTTGAAGTCCTTGAAAACCTGGCTGCCCAATCACACCAGGATCTCCTTTGTTTCCAGGCAAACCGGTTGGTCCTTGTAATCCTGGACTGCCTGTTGCACCTTGAGGCCCTTGAGGTCCTGCAGAACCACTTGCACCAAGATTTCCTTTTGGTCCTGCTGGTCCTGTTGCTCCTGTAGGACCGGTACCCCCTTGCTGGCCTGGCGATCCAGGTTGTCCAGCTTGACCGGGTAAGCCTGTAGGTCCAACTGGCCCAACAAAACCAGCATCTCCTCTTGAACCCTGTTGACCTTTTGGACCTTGTTGACCTTTGGGACCAGTTGGACCTTGAGGACCTTGTTGACCTGCCAAACCTGGCGCTCCAACATCACCAGCTGGTCCAGGGTTTCCTGATTGACCTTGAGCCCCTGGGTCACCTTTCAAACCTTGATCACCCGGATTACCTGGATTCCCCACTGGACCTGGTTGGCCAGGTGTCCCTTGTGGTCCAGCCTGACCTTGCACACCAGTGGCACCTGTAGCACCTATAGCGCCTTTGAGGCCTTGCTGTCCTGGAGTACCTGGATTGCCTGAGATGCCTTTGAGTCCTGGTGATCCATTAGCGCCTGGTTGTCCTGTAGAGCCCTGTTCGCCTTTTGTGCCTGGCAAACCAGTAGCACCAACGGCACCTTCAAAAATAAATAATTTATATAGTGAAATCCTCATTTTTTTCAAATTTTTAAAAAGCTTTAAAAGAAATTACAACAACGAAATATGATCAAATTTATGAAATACAAATGTTCCTTATCCAAAAAATTCAATAAACGTTAACCTATCAAACTAATCAACAATTCAATTCAAATTAACTTTTATTCTGCAATGAAAATACATCGCTTGGAGACCCGAAGTTACCACTTGTAGTGCCACCAAAACAGAAATTTGAGCCAATAATTTGAACAAATATAAACGAAAATTTGAAGTAAACATAAACCATCAATCAGTAAAGTACTAATTACAATGTAACAAAATGTAAATAGGAAAAAAGTCAACAATTAATGAATGATGAAAAATGCTTCGTAAAAATCAATTTTCAAACAGACTGCTTGAATGAACAAAGCGTGGTCGAGTTTTTTTTTTAACGTGGATTGATAACAAGTCCCAAAGGCGACACGACGAATTGAAAACTGAATTAATAAAAAAATTTGAGCCTGGCTTAGAAAGGTAAAAGTCAGAGAGGATTGTATCGTACGTAGAACGATGATTTAATAATTGATTAAACTGCTGATGTAATGATAGACAGTAATTTAATATGAATAATTTATAAAAAAAAGTTCAGGTGAACAGTATAGGTAATTGACTATCATTTAGAATTTTAGATAATGCCAAAAAAATTACTTACATGATCAAACTTAGCTAAACCATACAATATACGGATGAAATAATTTTGACAAAGAGTTAAAATACGATTATTAGATTTTGTACCAAAGCTCCAAACAGGGCGAAACAATCAAATTAAACAATGTAAATAAAATATGTTTAGGAAAATTAGATCTGAGTCGGTATATTAAACCTAAATTTTTTGTAATGTTTTGAGAAGCCAATTGAACGTGATCAGACCATGACAAATTGCTAGTAAGAATGATGCTTAAGAATCTAGTAAATTTTACCCTTTTAATGGAAATGTTATTTAATTGAACATTTATGATATTCGTACGAATTTTGTGTCCGAATAAAATTAAAGTGAGTTTTAGCAATATTGATTCTTAGATTATTTGCAGCGACAATAAAATTTATTATAGGTGTAAAAATTTTCAAGTTCAAAAAAACGTATAAAAACGGTTTTTCCATACAAAAACAAACTTGTAAGAAGCTAAATTCGAAAATTAAATAATAAAAACTAATTTGAAAAGCTTGATAATTTTTTAAGCTCAGTAAAATGAAAGCAAAATTAAATAAAATATTAATTAAAAAATTAACCCAGAGCTCCATCCGGACCAGTGGCACCAACTTGACCAGGATTTCCTCTCTGCCCAGGAGAACCAGGAGATCCCGCTTGTCCAGTAGGTCCTTGAGCTCCCACCGAGCCTATGTCACCAGGCACACCTTTGTTTCCCTGAGGTCCCGGTTGACCGGAAGCTCCCTTTGGCCCTTGAGCTCCTTTTGGACCTGCTGGGCCTTGCTGTCCAGGTTGACCTACTGGGCCAGTTTGACCAGTAGCTCCTTGTTGTCCTGGAAGGCCAACATCTCCTTTGAATCCTGGCTGACCGGGCTGCCCTGGTTGACCAGCAGGTCCTTGTGATCCTGTATCTCCTAGTGGACCTTGAAAACCAGGATTGCCCTGAGCACCTGCCTGTCCTGGATACCCAACCGGCCCTGCTTGACCAGTAGCTCCTTGATCACCTCTGAGACCAGCCGGTCCAGGTAATCCAGTTGAGCCTGAGTTGTTAATATATTATAATTAAGTTACGCCAAAAAACCAGCGACATAAAATTTGAACGCTTCGATAATAACGCTGTAATTTCACAATTACTTATTCACTTGTAGTTTCAGTTTAAAACCGTTAAATTATTAATTGGCCTTCAGATTTTTACAAATTAAAATACAGAAAGTTTTTAAAATGATATTGGCAGGTTTGTAAACATATTCACTTGTTAATTTTAACATCAATAAAATTTTACAATTTATGTATTTTCAGTCACGTATTATTTGTAACCGCACATTAAAACTTTTTAATACTTTTTAGCCATTCTAACATGTTTAAAATTAAATTTTAACCTGGTTGTCCTGGTTGACCAGAGGGTCCCTTAGGTCCGGGTTGACCAGCCATACCACTTTCCCCTTTGGGTCCAGCAGCTCCTGGTGCTCCAGATTGTCCAGGTGATCCTTGCTGACCTTGATCTCCTCTCAAGCCTTGAGCTCCCATAACTCCTGGCTGTCCAGTGTTGCCGCTTAGTCCAGTATCACCTTGAGAGCCTGGATTGCCTGGTTGACCAACAGGTCCCTGTGGTCCTTGCTGGCCTTGTTGACCAGGTTGTCCTTTGAAAAACAAAACGATAGTAACAATTACATTAATAATAATAATACTTATTATTACCATTACAACGTTAGTAACAGTAAATTGACGCGTCGTTTTAAAAAATAGTTGCAATATTACCGGCTTGTCCTGGAGTTCCAGGGCTCCCAGGCACTCCAGCATTTCCTGCCTGACCAGTGGGACCCTTTGGTCCAGCTTGACCTTGAGGTCCAGGCAAACCTGCTTGACCGGCTGATCCAGGCAGACCCGCAAAACCAGTCGATCCAGTATCTCCTTTCAAGCCAGGAGCTCCATTCGATCCTGCTAAACCCGGTTCACCTCTTGTGCCTTGACTGCCTGGAGCTCCAGTGTTTCCAATTAGACCTGGATCACCTTTGGGTCCCTGCTGACCTTGTGGACCTTGCTGACCTTGAGAGCCTTGTTGACCAGGAGCACCGTTTGGCCCTTGAGGTCCTTGTTGACCAGCAGTTCCTTAAATTTATTCAAAAGATATATTTATATTTTTCTGTCTGAAAAATATTGAAGAGAGAATTGTAATGAATATTAAAGTATCAAGTTTTCAACGTAAATGTTAAGAAATTAATATAACATAATCTATGAATGGCGCGTTAATTGAAAGCTGTAACAAACTTAACTATGTAAAGCATGTTGTTAGTAGGATTGTTTTCCGTCAAGCTTCATAAATTTATAACTCAAAATCAATAATAAATAAAAAAATGTTAACATTAACACAGTTGAAATAAATAAAATAAAATGGAAAATATTTAAACGTACGTGTAAAATATCAAATAATTAATAATAATTATTACAAAAGTTTATTGCAATTTACAACACAAACCTGTAGAGCCAGTCGCTCCAGTAAAACCTTGCTGTCCTTTCTGACCTGATGAACCAGGATTGCCACTCAATCCGGTAGATCCCTGTTGACCCGGTTGTCCAACTTGACCGGCCGGTCCAGGTTGACCTTTTAAACCAGCCAATCCAGGGTCTCCAGTGATACCAGGCTGACCTTTAGGTCCTTGCTGGCCTGGTTGACCTTTTTGACCTAGAGGACCAGTCGATCCTGTATCACCTGGCAAACCTGCTTGACCAGGTTGACCCTGTTGTCCTGGCTGACCATTTTGTCCAATGGGTCCAGGGGCTCCCTTTGATCCCGGAGAACCATCAATGCCCTGATTGCCAATCGGACCTTTAGGACCAGTTGGTCCGACGTTTCCAGTGGCTCCAGGTTGACCTGATTGACCTGGATTTCCAGTAGGTCCGAGAGATCCTGGATCACCTGAAAAAATTAGAACTACTCTATCAAAAAAGTCTCACAATAAATTTAAGTGTATGGAAAATGCACTATCACACAAACGCACACGTTTCTAGTGTTTCAGTGACACATCAAAAGATTCACTTGAATGAAATGAATACGTTGTATTAAATGGCAGTGCACTCAATTCTGTTGCTTTGTACAGTGTATCATATTATAGAGCATTGTAACGCATGCATGCAGAAAATTCAGAAGTCCAATCATTTCAGTGTTATATTCGACAAATTTACAACTGTTCTACAAAAAATGAAATTAGTTAAAAGTTTTTACCTCTTGGTCCTGTCACGCCCTGAGCGCCTTGTGGTCCTGGTTGTCCAGGATTACCTTGAAGTCCAGGCTGGCCTTTAGGACCTTGCTGTCCTGCGGCTCCAGGTTGACCATTTAATCCAGGTTGCCCAGGTGATCCTCGGAAACCAGGTGAACCGGGTGTACCAGGCGTCCCATTATCTCCAGGCAAACCTGTACTTCCCTTGGCACCGGGATCTCCTGCTGATCCTTGTGGTCCAGGTTGACCAGCTGGTCCGGCGGGCCCAAGTTGGCCAGGTGAACCAGCTAAACCTGTGAATCCTATATCGCCTGGGGCTCCAGTGGCACCAGCTGGTCCTTGTTGACCTTGCTCACCTAATGGTCCTGGCTGCCCTGTCTGGCCGGACTGACCAGGGGAACCAATGTCTCCCGAAGGACCTGGTTGACCTAAGGGTCCACTGGGACCAGGCTGACCTGTAATTCCCGTTGATCCTGTAGCACCTCGTTGTCCAGGTGTTCCTTGAGGACCAGCAGGACCTAAAGAAATCGGAATAATCAATTTAATAATATTAATGAAAATTGTAAATAATAAATTTTAAAAAAGTTATTGTTCTCTGCAGTTACAATTAAAATTAAACTTTTTAATTTACATAAAATAATAAATAACCTTGTGGTCCTGGACTTCCATTATCTCCAGCCAACCCAGGATCTCCTCTATTACCAGGCTGACCTTGTTGACCTGGTTGACCAGTTGATCCAGTATTGCCAGTGAATCCTTGCTGCCCAGAAGGTCCAATGTCTCCCTTAAGACCAGGTTCTCCCTGAAATCCTTGCGGACCCGGGGCACCATTAGCACCTGGATTACCTGGAAGTCCTGTACCACCAGTTGCTCCTGTTCCTCCGGGTGTACCTGGTAGTCCTATTTGACCTTGAGCCCCCCTTAAACTGCTACGTCCTGGAGCTCCTATCGGACCCGGTTGACCTACTTGACCCTGAGGGCCAGGTGATCCCGGAGTTCCTTGTGGACCTGGCTGACCAACTGATCCAGGTTGACCAGCAATACCTAGCAAGAAAAAATGTTAAACTGAAATATAGAAAAATGTGAGAGAAAAAATGAAAATGCAAAAAAATCAATAAAAATGAATAAAGTTGCATGAAACAAATAACCTTGTTGTCCTTGGGCTCCTGCTTGACCGGGTGTTCCATTAGGTCCAGAAAGACCTTTATCCCCCTGTGGTCCAGTTGGGCCTTGAGGACCAGTGCTACCCTGAGAACCAGCAGAACCTGGTTGTCCTGGATTTCCTCTAGGACCTGGTAAACCAATAGAACCAGCTGATCCAGGACTTCCTTGCGGTCCCATTTCCCCCTTAGGCCCAATTGGACCTAATGGACCTTGTGCTCCTGGTGAACCAGTAGGACCCTGCGCACCTGTTGCTCCAACTGGTCCAGGCAATCCAGGAGATCCAGCATCCCCAGACAAGCCGGAGTAACCAGGAGCACCTTGAGGTCCGATATCTCCATTAGGACCACTCGGTCCTTGTAATCCTTGATCTCCCTTTGATCCAATATCACCAGATGGTCCTGGCTGACCAATCTGTCCTGATGGGCCAGTTGCTCCAGTAGCACCTTGAACACCTTGAATTCCTAATGATCCTTGAGATCCGGGTCTACCCGCTGTTCCGGGCTGACCCTGTTGACCAGGTTCTCCATTGGGTCCTGGTGCTCCAGGGTTTCCTTGATCCCCTTGTTGACCAGGTACTCCAATAGCACCACTCTGTCCAGTTGCACCAGTACCACCTTGCTGTCCATTCGTTCCTGGCTGTCCAGGCTGACCTGGCGAACCCGCAGAACCACTTGGTCCGACATCACCTGTTGCTCCTTGTTGCCCGGAGTTTCCAGGTTGACCGATTAAACCAGTGCTTCCTGTATCACCTTTTGTACCAGCTGGTCCAGGCTGTCCAGTTGCACCCTGCGGTCCTTGTGGTCCCTGATTACCTCTTTGACCGGATGGTCCTTGAGGTCCTGTATCTCCTTGAGGTCCGACAAGTCCAGGTTGACCAGCCTGACCTGGTTGTCCAGGATTGCCAGCTGCTCCTGGCGATCCAATACTGCCAGCTGGTCCTGTAAACAGTTGAAAACAGTTTACAAAAACTGAATAACTTCAAATAATTTTAATTATAATAACCACCCAAACAAATTAAATTAATTAACCATTAACCATTAAACCATTTATTACGTAAACCAGAAACCCGTAATTAGAGCTTGTAAGGTAACTAAAATATCAGCAAAATTAAAAACTGTACAGGCAAAAATTAAATGTCAAAATTACTATAACAATATAATTAACAAATTTTAAATAATAAATGTTAAATATTAACATACTGAGAAATATGAAAACAACTAGATCCTTGTTAAGAAAAATTAAATAATAAAAAAGTTATTTAAATCGTCGTTAAATTTTAAGAAGGAAGAAAAAGTATGTAAGACAAAAGATTAAAGAGATATGGAAATAGATAGGATGCGGATACTGGACTTGAATTTCGAAAAACAGGTAATTTTCTGAATATCTCGCGGTAACTTATTCCACAATCTAATGCCAGATATTAGGGTCCTATTTTTAAATAATTTAGTTCTTAAAACTGGCAAACAAAATTCATTATTGTTTCTAAAAAGCCCATCCTTGCTAGATTTAAAACTCAGAATGACATTTTAGCATTGGGCGAAACATTATTTATATATAATTTATAAAAAAATATAAGTAAATGAAATTTATATAAAGTAGTAATTATAAGTGTTTTGCTTAGATCAAACAAATGAGAAACATGGTCAAATTTTTTTTAGGTTATAGAGAATTCTCAGAAAATATCTCTGACATTTAACTATTAATGATAAGTGACAACACGGACTGTTGTTCCAAATTGGTAAGCAATATATCAAGTAATGGTATGTTAATGAATGGTAAAGCATTTTAGTTACAGCAAAAGAATACATGTTTCTTAATTTATTTAAAATTCCTTACGTTTTCGATATTTTTAAAGATATATACGTTATGTGGTCAGAGGAGAGCGGGTCTATTGGTTTTGTATGTATCTATTCTTTTTATATTCGTTTAATCGTCTCGTTTTTGAAATAAGAACAATCAAATTAAAATGTGTGATTGTGTGTTTGATTCACTTTATTATAATATTTCTAATCATCGTAACTAACCTAATTAATAACTAAGTCGTATAAGTCATTAATTTAATTCATTCTCAATTTACATTTATCTAACGATAATCGTGTTTGATGGCGAGCATCGCATCAGTGATCCCCTAGTTCCCTGTCTCTATGTAGATGCGGTCTTCAACGCAACATCAGAGTTAAAGGACAAATTAATTAAATATTTTTAAAGGGAAATAATAACAAAAATTAATTTTTTTAAAACAATATTTGAAATTTCGTCGTTACCACAGCTTTTAAATATTTTTAAGGGGAAATAATAACAAGAATTAATTTTTTTAAAACAATATTTGAAATTTCGTCGTTACCACAGCTTTTAGTATTTTTGAAATTGAACTAACCAGGTTGTCCATCCGTTCCTCTGCTTCCTTGTCTGCCAGTAGCTCCAGTTGGTCCTTTATCTCCAGAAGCACCCTTAAGACCTTGTGGACCTTGATTGCCAGGTGTACCAGACAGTCCTGGCATTCCAGGTAACCCTCGACTACCTTGAACTCCCTGTGAACCAGGGTTTCCAGGAGATCCTGATGGTCCCATATCTCCTTTAGGACCCTGAGGACCTTGGGGGCCTTGCTGACCAGCTGGTCCAGGTTGACCTGGTTGTCCAGTAAATCCTGGAATGCCAGTAGAGCCTTGAGGTCCAGTATCTCCTGGCAAGCCTTTAACTCCTAGAGCTCCAGGAAAACCAATGTTTCCAGATGGACCTGGAAATCCTGTGAAGCCAATATCTCCGGGTGTGCCAGGTTGACCAGAAGTACCCGGGGCACCAACGGGTCCAGGCTGCCCTGATGCTCCAGTGGCACCTGTTGGACCTCTATCACCCTGCGAACCTTGAACTCCAGGATTGCCCATTGTTCCTAAAATTGTTTAAATAAACATTATTGAACGTAGAAACTAAATTATAAATATTTATTGATAAATTGAAATTGGTTTATATGGCAATTTTTTTTATCTACCGAGTCACAATACTACGGTACGAAATTTATTTATTTATTGACAAAACAGCACAGAGGGCCATAAAGAGCCACTTAACTAGACAGAAAAAATTAAAAATAAACGAATTTCAATAAAATGTACGTCGACACGGAAAAATAAGTTTGAAAAATCATTGTTAACATTAATAATGACCATCATCCTCGCGAAATAATATCATAAAGAAATCCAATTAAATAAAGTTACATAAATTGATAGTTTATATTTGCTATCAAAATAAAACAAATGAAATAAGATAATCTAGAACGTAAATTTTGAACAAAAACTTTGTGTGAATTAGTTTCAAAATTGTTTGTAAGTTCACTAGAACATGTATGCTTAATTTTTTTTTAATTTTGTACGCTTCTTACACAATTTGTATATTGGAAATTACGTAACGAGCTGTCACAGGTTTATGGACTCAATGCATAAAACAAGTTCAATAAAATAAACCTGCTGGTCCTTGTTGTCCTTGTAGTCCTTGATCACCACGCTCTCCTTTTGGTCCCTGCTGCCCTGCTGGCCCAGGATTACCTTTTGGTCCAGCTGGTCCGCTTTGTCCTTGTGGACCAGGGCTTCCCTTCTGTCCAGGATTTCCGGGTGTTCCTGAAACTCCTTGATCTCCTGGCTGTCCTATTGGACCAGGATTACCTGAGGGACCTGGAGCTCCGCGGTCGCCAGTATCACCGCTGGGTCCAGCTTGACCTTGAGGCCCTTGTTGACCTTGTGGACCAGACAAACCAACTAATCCGGGACTTCCTGTGTCACCCTGAGCACCTGGAGTGCCAGGTGTGCCGGCTGTTCCTTTGGAACCTTGGTCACCCTTAGGACCTTGAGGACCTTGTTGTCCCGGGGAACCGGATTGACCGGCTGGACCTGTTTGACCTGTAGCTCCTAAAAAAATTAATATTATCTCGATAAAAATTTAATATACCAAAGATTTTTTGCATTAAACAAAATAATATTGTTAAAAATTGATGCAACACATATGAATGATAACATTATGATTCACCTGTAGCCCCTTGAGGTCCGGCTGGTCCTTGAAAACCTGGATCACCTTTAACACCTTGAGCACCTTGCATACCCTGTGCTCCAACTGGTCCTTGCGGTCCTTGTTGACCGGCTGGTCCAGGTAGCCCAGAAAATCCAGGATTTCCTTGAACTCCGATGTCACCCTTGGGCCCGGGTTGTCCTGTCAATCCGCGTTGCCCAGTAGCTCCAGTACCTCCTGTTGAGCCAACAGATCCAGGTGTACCCGTCGCACCTTGATTTCCTTGAAATCCAGTTGCACCTGTGCTTCCTAATAATAAACAGATTCGTCGTTTGCAAATAAGCATTTTAATCAAACAGATGCGTCAAAACTCAAAACAACAAAAGTTAAAAAATGCTTGCGACGAAAAACAAACCTTGTCCTCCCGGTGTGCCAGCAATACCAGGCGAACCTGGATTACCTTTATCACCTGGTTGTCCGGTACTACCTACAGGTCCTGGTTGTCCAGAAGCTCCCTGCGAACCCTGTGATCCAGGGGCACCTGGTTGTCCTAATGGTCCAGCTGGTCCTGTTGATCCTTGAGATCCCTGAAGACCTTGAGGACCTTGTTGGCCTTGTGGTCCTTGCTGTCCTTGTGGCCCCGGTTGTCCTTGCGGCCCAGTAGGTCCAAGTGGTCCTAACGATTTGTTTTTTTATTTTTTATCGACAATTCAATCTTTAATATGTTTTAAATAAAAATTAAAACACTTATATATTAATAAATGTATAATAAGTATAAAATATTTGCACAAGTGACACTACATAATTCCAATACAAGTTCGGCAGAACGTATCAAGAAAATTAAATCCTTATTAACAATGACAATCACCTTGCGCTCCGGGCTGCCCAGGATTGCCTGCAGGCCCAGCTAGACCTTGATCACCCTGCGGACCTGCCAAACCAATACTTCCAACTGCCCCTGGTAATCCTGAAATGCCTTTCGTTCCCTGATCTCCTTTAGGACCTTGTGGTCCAGTTTGTCCGGTAGATCCCTGAGGTCCTTGGGGACCCGGAGCACCTGAAGGTCCCATATCTCCAGTAGGACCTGGTTGTCCAGCAGGTCCAGGAGAACCTGTAATAATTAAGAAAGTTCACCTTAGTTGTTTTAGCAGTTCATAGAAATCAAACAAATTATTAATATTCAAAATTATTCCTCATAATAGCATAAATTCGTCATTCTTTGCACCGTTTAAACAATTAAAAATTTATAAACATACAAACTGAAATTATGTTTCAATATAAATATAACCCAAAAAAATGAAATAGAAAATTTATTTATTCAAGTGATTCAATTTAATAAATACATCTTTTATAAACTGTTACCCGTTAGTGTAGAACAATTCTATAAGAATTAAGAGAACCTTGATTTCCCGCTGGTCCTGGCTGACCACTCGGACCAGTGGGTCCTTGAGGTCCAAAATCTCCGGTAGCTCCAACTGGTCCAGGCGAACCAGTTGAACCCTGCACTCCTAACTGACCAGGAGTTCCTTGAGGGCCAGGTTGTCCTGATAGACCAGGAAATCCAGGTGTGCCCTTAACTCCTTGTACACCTGGCTGGCCAGCTGGACCTATGTCACCTTTTGATCCCGCTGGTCCTGGAGCTCCAGGTTGACCTATTTAAAAATCAATAAAAAACAATTAATTTAAATTCAATAATTTATAATTCTAATTTAAATATTTCAAAGAATCTATATAAAACTCAATTTTTTGTTGCAAAAGTATAAAACATTAACCTGTAGATCCTTGTTGTCCTGGACTTCCCTGAGGTCCTTTATCTCCTTGAGGCCCAGATGGTCCAACTGATCCCTGAGCACCAGGATTTCCAGCAGGTCCAGGTTGACCTTGCGGACCTTTCTGACCTTGAGTTCCTGATGATCCTTGTGGACCCATATCTCCTGGTTGACCCGTTTGACCTGGTTGGCCAGCTGGTCCGGGTTGACCAGTGGAACCTTGTGGACCCTGTGACCCTTGAGGACCTTTGTCTCCTGGCAAACCAGCTGATCCAGATTGTCCTCTGGGCCCAGTAGGACCTGAAGGTCCAGATGGTCCAGTATCGCCTTTGCTGCCCTGAGGTCCAGCCTGTCCGGGTGAACCTTGAAATTGAAAAATGATCTGACAATGAAGTGTGTATTTTTAATAATTAAAAAGCTTTCATAACATTCAATGCTTGTTAATTTATAAATACCTTATGCTTATAAATTAATATAATTTGCAACAAATAAATCGCATATCATAATTCAATTCCACCTTGAAGGCCTTGAAATCCTGGATCTCCATTTTGACCTTTAGGTCCAGGTTGACCTTGAGGCCCTTGTGGTCCTTGTGGTCCTGGAGCTCCTTGTGATCCAGATGGGCCCGTGTCTCCAGCCAAACCACTGAGACCAGGCTGTCCCATATCTCCAACTGGACCGGGTTGTCCCGGTTGTCCTGAAGGTCCAAAAGGTCCAGTTGCCCCTTGCGGTCCAGGCTGACCTAGGTTACAAAAAATTGTCAAATACTTAATAGCTTTTTAATACATTTAATTTCAACTAATTTTATATTCAATTAAACAAAACATGGTCGACTAGCCTCTGACGCAATAGCTAAAAATATAATCAAACCAAATAAAATAAAACAACATTTTCGGTCGGTGTTAGAAAATTAAAAACACATAATAAAAATTGAAACCATAGAATGCAATGAAATCACACTATACTATCAAATTCATACATATACATCGTTATATACCAACAAATACAAAAGAGCAACGACATTCGAACACACAACTTTACTTAAGCATGCATACATGTTTAGAAAATTTAAAATAGAAAAACGACAAAATTAATCATTACCATCTGTACAAACACACGCATGTTAATCATTACCATCTGTACAAACACACGCATGTTAAAGCCATGAATAAATGCACACATGCATACACTCAAACAAATACAAACTCATACCCATACAATTACGCACGCAAACACGTACACACACAAACACACAAACACATACTCATACTCGACAGAATATTAATTAGATGGTTTAACACTGAAAATTTGCAAAAAATAATTTTTCAACGCCACCTGTTGCTCCAGATTGTCCAGTATTTCCAAGAGGTCCGGTTTGACCAGCAGGTCCTTGCGGACCTGGAGCACCTTGTGAACCTTGATCTCCTTTAGGTCCAGCAGGACCTGGAGCTCCATCTGATCCAGAGTTACCTTTTTGTCCTTGAGGGCCTTTTTGACCTTGAGGGCCAGTTGAACCCTGTGGTCCAGTCGCACCAGTAAAACCTTGCATTCCTTGATCCCCAGCAACTCCAGGGCTGCCAGCTTGTCCAGTGTTTCCGAGAAGTCCTGTAGTTCCGGCTGGTCCTTTTTGACCCTGCACACCAGTTGGACCTTTTGGACCTTGTTGACCTGTTGGTCCCCGTTGACCTGAATTTTTAACAAATAAAATTAATAAAATAAAAATGAAACAAACAAGTAATGGTACAGCTAAATAAGTTCATCTTTTTTTAATCCAGTGCAATACCTGATATGTCAATCAAACGCTAAGACATATTCTTCAAATGCAGTAAAAAATTTGTAAGCTATAAACACTATTAAACTATGAACAGCAAAAATATTGAACTCGACCTTGTGGCCCAGGTTGTCCTTGAGACCCTTGTAATCCGGGCTCGCCAGCAGGTCCAGCTGGTCCCAGTGGACCAGGTTGACCAGCATTTCCAGCAAAACCCGATGCGCCCGTATCACCCTTTAATCCGTCTGGACCAAGACTTCCTCTCTGACCTTGGGGTCCAGCAGGTCCCGGATCACCTTGTAATCCTTTGACTCCCTGCTGTCCTGGTTGTCCGCTTGGACCTGCGTTGTAAGTTCATGCAGCAAATCTCTCAAAGCCTCTTTATTTTTAATTATATAGTTTAATTTTTTTGTTTTAGGTACATAACTAAGAACGTAAAATGATTGCAAATAACCTGTTGGTCCTTGAAATCCAGGATCTCCAGTGGGTCCTTGAGGCCCAGGTATGCCCTGAGGTCCTGGAAATCCAGCAAGACCAGTAGCTCCAGGTTGTCCAATTAAACCAGGTAAGCCAACAGCTCCCGGCAGACCTGAGAAGCCATTATCACCTGGCGCTCCAATCTGACCTGCTGGTCCAGTGTTCCCTGTAGCTCCCATACTACCAGGAACTCCGACTAGACCTGGTTGACCAACTGGACCTGATGGTCCTGTATTTCCTCTGGGTCCTGTTTGTCCCGGTAGACCTGCATTTCCAGGGCTTCCCGTGTCACCTTTGTTACCGGACGGGCCGGCTTGACCAGTGGCACCTAGCAAAACAATTTTTTATGTTGTGATGAATTTAATCCGACTCTTCAAATGATAATTTTTGAATGTAAGGTTTTACTTTGAATGCGTATCGACCGGTTAATAAAACAAACATTATTGTGTGTTTTAACTCATTGAAATAATTAAAATTTTTAGAAGCACCTTGAGGTCCAGGGGCTCCATTATTTCCTGGTGATCCAATGTCTCCTTTCGGTCCCTGTGGTCCTGCCGGTCCAGTGGGTCCTTGGGGGCCAAGTGGGCCGGGTGAACCTTGAAGTCCTTTCTCTCCAGCTGGACCAGTCGGACCGATGTTTCCTTTGGGACCAGCTGAACCAGTCGGACCTTGCTGTCCTTTTAATCCAGGTTGACCGGGCTGACCCGTCGCTCCTAAGAAAAACATCAGAAGCGACGGTATGAAACATTAGAGAATGCAAATACATCACGTACAATAATAACGAAATTAAAAATTAGTTCTTTGATCGAACTAAATTTCAATGGTGTATTACATAAAAAAATATTTCATTTCATTTATTTAATTTTATTTCATTAAGGAAACTTGAATAATTTAAAATAAACTTGTGGTAAAGCCACTCTCTACTGACATTTGCTATACATGTTCTAAATAACAAAAAAATTAATTATAATCAACTACGTTGTAATTTTTTAACGTAATTATATGAAAAAAAAAGCTTTGTTGCTAATCTAAAAAACCTTATATACTCGTTATTATTGCAATGAATAAGTGTCACAAAATAATTCTTAAAGGTCTGAAAATTACCAATAAAAAATTACCTTGGCTCCCGGTGGGTCCAGCAGGCCCAGTTGGTCCAAAAATTCCGGGCTGCCCTTGAAATCCTTGTTCTCCAGTTGGACCAGGTGGTCCTTGAATGCCCTGAGGTCCTTGGGGTCCAGGTGAACCTTGTGGTCCTATTGAGCCTGGATTTCCCATATTTCCTGGCTGTCCAGATGGTCCAGCTGGCCCAGTAGCTCCCGCTGGACCAACAGGACCTGGTTGACCAGTTGCACCTGCATTGCCAGGAGATCCAGCCGTACCTGGACTTCCTGTGTCACCTCTTTGACCTTGAGGACCTTGCGATCCAGTTGGTCCAGTAGGTCCTTGTGGTCCTTGAGGTCCTTGCGATCCTTTGAAAAAATTAATCAAATTTAATAGAAATAACATGATATTGTATTGTTGAAAACTGTATCCAGTGTAATACATACATTGAACATTATTGAATATTGAGTTTTTTATAATACATTTGTATTCACCTTGAGCTCCAGATTGTCCAGGGCTTCCTTTTGGACCTTGTTGACCAGTCGCACCAGTTGGACCAAGAGGTCCTGGCTGTCCAGCTGACCCTATTTGGCCACTAGGTCCTTGATCACCTTTTGGTCCTTGTTGTCCCAATGGACCTCGGGATCCTTGGGGTCCCGGATTACCAACCTGTCCAGGCTGTCCAGCAGGTCCTAAAGCTCCAGATGATCCGGTAGAACCTATTGAAGGTTTTATTTAATCTTTCCAAAACACGTTCCATTATGTCTTAGAATTGAATAAAACTCGTAAAATATTTTACATCTAGCGTGTTTTTTATTTTACAATACAATATTTGGTTTGCCTCCATTAATTTAGATATTTTGACTGATATGCGCAACTTATATAAAGGCTTTCAACTTATAAGCTTCACAAAAAATTTGCCGACATAATACTTGTAATCGTTTCACCAACAATAATCATTTTAAGAGGTTCTTCGTAATAAATCTTGAACGAGACAATAAACCACAAATAAATAATTTTTCGACTATTATATATTGACTATTTGACATTTTTTGTTACAATAATTATTGCCTTAAAATAAATTGTAATTTGAAATTAATTAAATAAAATAATTGAAATGAATTAATTGTCAACAACTATGATATTATTTGAAATCAGATTAACACCACAACATTATTTTAAATTATTACCAGTAGCTCCGACAGGTCCTTGAAATCCTTGTTGACCTGGTTGTCCTGATACACCTGGACTTCCAATGGGTCCACTTTGACCTCTGGGACCTTGCTGACCTGGACTTCCTGGCTGACCTCTTGGACCACTTGGCCCGGGTGATCCGGTTGCCCCGGAAGCACCAACAGCTCCTTGAACGCCGACGTCCCCATTTGGACCCGAGGGACCAGGCGCTCCAATTTGACCTTGTGGCCCTTGAGGACCTGGTGCACCTATTTCTCCATTTGGCCCAGATAGCCCTTGTGGGCCGGGAGGTCCCATTGAACCAGAAGAACCCATTGGTCCCTGTGCACCTATCATACCAGGCTGGCCAGTAGCACCCGAAAGACCTGTTCAAAATGTTAAGTGGAAATCTGCATGCAAATTGAAAATTCAGAAAGATTTTACTAATAAATTAATTTTTTTCACTAAAAAATGAAAATGTAGCAAAACAACTAAAGAACCTGGGAAGCCGATGGGTCCTCTTGGTCCCTCTGAACCAGGCATACCTTGAGGTCCTGGTGATCCACTAGCCCCACTTGATCCTGTAGCTCCAGTATTTCCTACCGATCCCGGAATACCTTGAGCTCCACGACCGGCCGGTCCAGGTTGGCCTTGCATTCCAGAAGCACCTGTATCTCCTGAAGGTCCTTTCGAACCGATATTTCCAGTAGGTCCAGGCTGTCCAGGTAAACCTTGCGGTCCAGGAGATCCAGGATTTCCACTCAAACCAGGATTTCCTTGAAAGCCAGTTGCACCTTGCGATCCAGGTTGACCTTGCGATCCAGTATCTCCCGGTTGACCTCTCTGGCCAGGTGAACCGGTTGGACCTAATAATTTAAAAAAAAAATTTAATTTCAAACCTTGTTAATCAAATAATTAAATAATTAATTTAAAAAATATTAGAAGATTCTTATAAATTATTCAATCAACTATTCAAATAAATAAATAACATTTGAACCTTGAAGTCCAGGAATACCATTGGCACCAGGAGACCCAGTATCTCCTTTAGCTCCAGATAACCCAGGTAAACCATTAGTGCCGGGCTGTCCATTTGGACCTGGCTGACCAGAGGCACCAGATGGACCAGGACTTCCTTGGAGTCCAGCGGATCCAACTGGACCAACAGGACCAACCAAACCGGGAGAACCTTGAACTCCTTGAGCTCCAGGCACCCCTGCTTGACCATTTGGTCCCGGCTGTCCAATCTGACCGGGTTGACCTGTTGCTCCCGTGAGACCTTTAGGCCCTGGTTGACCAGAGGGTCCGCTAGGTCCTATGAAAAAAATTATTCAAGTATTTTTTGTTTTTTGAAATATTTTAACCTGTTCAATAAAATTTAAAATAACATGCACTCCTCTTCTGCACAAGAAAATCAACAATAGTTAATTAATTAGACTACAATGCAAGGCATGGCAAATGAAATCGAGTAAGTATTATCTTCAAGTTTTGTTTCTATTACATTCTATTAGAAATAGGAGATAAAGAAAGTATCAAAATAAAAGTAGATCGTTATAAAAATTACAGATTTATTTTCATTTTTCAGTTATTAATAATTTTAACATATTTTAAACACATATACATCGACATGGATTTTTTTTTAATAAATTAAAACAAATCAAATAAACAATAAAACAGCACCAAAAAACCGAACAAAAAATATTACCAATGAATGAATGAATGAATGAATGAATGAATAAACAAATAAAAAGGAAGAATTAAGGAAAAAATACTATTTGTCACACTATTGATAAAAATTAAAAAACTGCAAACCTGCTGCTCCAGTGAAACCTTTTCTCCCCTATC